GCTCTAGCTTTTCAACATTTGCCACGAGGTTAACCTTTAACACACTTTACTGTGTTCTGATTGGCGCGCACTCTGACGTCTAATGCTGGCTAAGTTTTATTTTCCATTGGGTTTTTCCATGTGACATTCGGTAATTTTACAACCAACGGACGTTAATTCTCCTTTATATTTATTATTTATCTTACTAAATCAAGACTACAAAATATTATTTGATGAACAATCTTTTCACATGTGTGTATTGCCATTGAGGACATCGTTTTTTGACTTTTTTATTGAGGTAAAATAATTGTAAATGAAAAATAAGCTAGGCCTAGGCTAATTAATTAAAATAAATAATACAGCAGTACAAACAAGTTCCTGTCGTGGACAGCGAGTGGAAGAGGAGACTCCCATGAAGTCAAGTGTACGTTTTTCTTATTGAAAAACAGTTCTATACTTTAAATTAAAGGTCTAAACTCGTGTTTGCCATTCACAAATTATCAAACAATACATTGTTTATTCCAGTAAGCTACAGCAGTCTTTCTGCACATACAAATAAACAACATGCTTTTGTTTCGTAGGTTCGCTTTGCGTAGCCTTGCTTAGATTGTTTATATCAGGCTACGAAGCCTGCGCGCAGGTTAGATTGTTTATATCAGGCTACGATGTATCTACGAAGCCTGCGCGCAGGTAAAAGTGCAATATTTCATGACGGTACTGTATGCATTAATAAAATATATATCGCAACAAACGTGAAAACTTGTCTTGAACCAACTCGACTTTGTAACATTTTCATTGTTTCTGTAATAAAAGAAAAATAACACCAAGTGATACACGTAATATTTATAATCATAAACTATAATATTATAGTACAGTAATACAAATAATTTTTAGTCAACTAATGTTTTATACTTGAAGTTTTGTGTTTATAAAAATACTATATTGTTTAGCTCCCTTGTTCCAGATTTGCGGATGCACCATCAGGACGCCATACACCGTGACCGAAATGCATAACGAAAATAGCGCGACCGAAATGATCGGATATTGTATTATTAGCTCTATCAAACTTCAATTACCTTACATACAAGTAGTAGGTATGTTACAAAAAAATTAAAATTCAGAATTTATTTCATTGATATTGAAGTTTTCTGATAGAGCTTGGTAAAACAAACATTTTGATACCAAATTTATGTGTGCAGATTTAATGTTAAGGAAGCTATGGTAAATTTTAAACTCAGGATTATTGGTTGTCTTCTATTAATTAACACAAAGGTTATTAACACAAAGGTTAAACAAAAGTCATGATCGAGAAGCGTATTAAGTCCCCAAAATGCCTTTTAATGTCAAAAAATATGATATTCTCACAATAATAATACTGTTGTATATAACAATACTCTATCAGGAAATACAAGAAGATTTGTTGAATTGCATAATTAATCAATTAATTACAGTATAATTTTATTTGATAAATTTTGATGAAATCGTATTTGACCAGAATCTGAATAAATATATAAAGAAAACTTGCTTACTTTTGAGTGTTTTGATTGTCTTCTAAATGCAATCAAGTCACAATTGTTGTATACAGGCATGAATTATCGCTTCGTATCTGAGCGTAAACACTCGTAACCTGCTCGTATTTACGTTTTGAACGTAGCTACGAATTTTAATTAGCTTTACAATGATCATAGGCTGGATCGTTGGGCTGATAAACAATGCAGAGATGTAATTGTGCAGGGCGGAACCCAGGCGGGGCCGCCCTGCCTAAAAGTCTACCGCCCAGCCTAAAGCAAAATTTAATGTCTTCCGCCCAGCGTCAAACGTACATATCCGCCCATTCCGAATTCTTACTTTTTGTGCAAAATATCATCGCATATTTCTAGCCTCAAACCTCATGCAAGCAGCCTAGCAAATAAAACAACATCGGAAAACCAACCAAGTGGAACTGCCAGGCTTTAGCGCTGATTGGACGCTCACGTTCTACTTGACTGAACAGTAAACCTGTCTCTTATACACATCTAACAGTAAACTGTGTGATCTGGAAATTGACACTTTGCGTCCTATCAGTCACATGATCTGTATGCGGTATTGAGTTTGTTATTGTTTTCAACGCTTGAGTTAATACACTCTAAAGATGGCCGAAGCGAGTGTAAATCGCTGAATGTCTGTTGTAAACGACATCAGAATTGCAGTGTCTGTATTTTTGGGTCATTCCGTGCCAACTCAACAAATTTTCAGAAAATCATGGCTGGGTACCGTCTCAGATTTTCTTGAAACTCGGATATAATGTGCACCAACATGTCTGACGAACAAACCCAAAATTTGACTTGCCAATTCCAAGTCGTTTAGAAGTTACGGCCATTTGAAATTTTAGGGTCATACCCCCTTTTAGCTATCAATTATGACATATTTGTAAAGTTGCATTTTCAATTAGTCATATCTTCAAATAGAATAAAGATAATTAACTGAAAATTGATATCTAGACTAACTTTTGGCTGTAGAACAGGAATATGACATGAATTTTGGTATAGCGGACCCCGTTACGAAAATATTGGTTCGTAAACACCCTAACTTAATTGGTTGTGTAATTTTTCTTCCATTTTTAGACTCCATTAAAATACCCAAATCA